GGGAAAGCCTCAGAAAGGCCGGCCGAAATTGGTGCCCAGCCGAACAAGACCGTCTTTACACGAACTTCTCACCCTTCTCCGGCTACTTGTACCGAGTGAGGTTCGGGCAGATGCGCAAGAGACTGACGACTGAGTGATGCTAACATGCCTCTGAGGTGACATGTTCCAGTCTACACGAAAAGAGGCCCTCTGTATCTCTTGTTTGCTGCATGCTGCCTCCAGAATCCGAATTCTCTACAAGAGCCGGGAAACCGGAAGTCTACAAGGCGCCCACTTTCGTCCCCTCCTTCCAGCTGGTCGAATCATCCCATTTATAGACCACATCCTCTGTACCCTCATGACGGCGCAGCAACACAAAGCCCCGATCATTGACAGGCGAAAGTGTCTCCGGCTCAGTTGTCTTGGCATGGCACTGTTTCCCAATTTTATGGCCCGGACGAAATTGCCCATTAGGTGGGCGAACGGACCAATAAAACTCCACCGCATCGTGTCCATCTCTTCGGCAGACACGACCACACGACTACACGAGAGTATACATGCTTGCAGCAGCAGAAACGGAGATGAAAGATAATCGGCCGTTGGATCGTTTTGCTGTGAGCCTTTCTTCTGGTCGCAATTTCTGTGGTCATGTTTGTTTCATCTTCTGTACCTCGGCTAGGCGAGTATAAGCCAAATAAATTATCTCAGTTTTACTTATTATGCAGCCAAATTGCAAAAGAATCCTACAACTATTTAGCTCATTTGTTCGGCGTAAATCTCACCTCATCTTCAAACTTGACATGTAATTGTCAGCTGAAATGGACGTAAAAGCCATTGTTAGGGGCCAAGAATGGCTACTCAGGGGGGATAAGTTAAATATAAATAAGAGAGTAGCTGGATTTCGATTGTGTGTTTGAGATTACACTGTTCTGGAGACTTTCAATTCGTGTGAGAGTGCATGATTAAGAGATTCGTAAAAAAAAGATGCCGGTTGCCTGCATTCTTTCCTCTTAGTCAGGATGTTTTTTGTCTTATTAATGTTAATTAACTCTCTAATCTTCCGTTTAGCTGCAAAGTCCCCATATCCGGTAAAACGTTGGGATTTCGACCATTCTATTTGGTCTCCTGTAGTGACCACATGTTCACCACCTCCGATTTGTGAATCCATAAACTTTTATAAGCGGCTCTCTGTCCTAATAGCCTCTAACGTGTGGGTCGACAAGTCTCCGCCACATACAAACTATGACGTGAGCATAAAACCTTATAAAAAGCTGATCTGCAGAGGACATAGGAAGATTAGCTAAAAGAAGGAATGATAGAGGAAAGCGTTATTGTTTCTTTATACATTCTCTTGACGTTCCATTTCCTCAGTAATTCGCCTATCTTTCTTGAAAGCCTGCCGGATTGTAGCATTAGGAAACTAGACAAAGCGTTGTCTAATTCTTTGTTTTGCCTCAAATAATGGTTTACTTTCACTCTATTTCTTAATATTTTGAAATTGTTAATAAATAATCCTACCGCTAATTGTACTCTTCTAGGATTTTTCTTACCAGTGCAAGCTCCTGTCCTTGATGAATTACGTCCACAAGACATAAACTCCTTATTACCATTGCTTTCATCACTCCTACCTTAACGCCATAAGTATGATTTGAGAATAAATTAAGAAGTTTTCTGTATACTCTCTGCCCAGTTTGCTCCCCTCTCTACTAACTAGCACATCTAAAAGCGGTAACTTATTGTCCTTTTCTAACAACAAAGTGAATTTTCTTGCCTTATCTACTCTATTCATAAAACTCTCATGATTGACTCCTTGTTCATTTTATTTCTTGATATAGGCCCTCGGTGTAGGTCTAAGGTTATTCCTAATGCCCGAATGACCCCACTTACCTTTGCCTCATCAAGGTCGCAAAGTGAGGTATAAGAATTAAGTAGAATCTTGGCCACCAATATTTCTTGGTTTAGTTTTTCGTGTGTGATTTTTTCGTCAATAATGGTTTCTCGATCTGACGATGTCCGTCGCTGACGAACGATAGCTCAGCACGCAGCCATCCTGATCGTAGGACGGTAAGCAATGGTCTTCTTCGCACAATTCAACGGACAAAGGTCCAAGGCAACCCTCATTCAGTACCCGGTAAGGCCTTTCTACTAATCCCCTCCACACACCTTCTCAAACTAAATGAAAGGTACGTCAGGGATTCTTTGAAACCCAGCTTCTCTTCATATCAAAAGCTCGACAAGTTTATCCTCGAAACGAGGGACGAGCTCTCGTGGATTGGTGAAATAAAACTACGAATCTTTTCATCATGTACCTCCATACAAAATTGAGGTTTCCACAACCTAGGCGGAAACTATACTTTGGCTAACTTCTTCAAATAGATCCACGTGTTCTTCTAGGCTGAGGGTCAGGGCTTGAATCAGCCCCTTAACTTAAATATTGGTATGTATTAACACCACATTGAGAGTTACCAAATGGTTTGCATCAGTGGCAATTGAGAGATCTTCTATTATGAAAACTCAGGGCAGAAGGGGAGATACCACAATTGTTTAGCACAAGTCTGGTCAAAGGATCGGCTTGACTTGTCTCT